TTTTTTTTTTCAAAACGATAGAATCCGAAAACGTTAGTTATCGAAAAAACCTCCAACACACAAACTCCATGAGAAACAGATTCTAATTAGTTTAATGTAAGAAATGCACCTAACTTACTGTCTACTCAGTAATTTTATGTACAAATCATGTGTGAACTTATGTTTCAAAGCACAAATATTATTTTCAGTTTTTTACCATGATTGCCAATTGAAGCATGGGTAGTGAACTTGCAAGTTGCAAGTGACAAAGACTAGTTTAAATATATATACATATTAATTGGAACTATTCTATTAATGCAAATTTTATTTCCCATTTTTCATTCATTTATATATAGTATGATTTATTTATGTTAATTACTATAGAAAGTTGCTTTTATTTTTAACGATAACCCACTAATTTGTGATGGAAAATAAAAAAAATTAATTGGTCTTTTCTGGAAAAAAATAATATTAAATAAAATGATAATTATAATAATTAAAGTTTACATTAAATTTGTTAATAAATTATATATTTATATCAGTTTGATGTAATTACTCTTTTAATTATTACTACTACTTTAAATTTATGAATATGTTGATTTGATTTGTAATGGTTGTAACCCGAGTGAGTTTTATAGCATTACTCTCTAGTACACCATTCACCTAATTTAATAAGCTTAATATTTTAGATGTGATATGTGAATTCTAATAATGATAAATAGTAAAATAATATGGGGTTACAGTATTTTTCTGGTTAAAAATTTCAGCTTAATATCATAATTTATCACTTATATTCTATTTGCATGTTTTCGCCATTGTTTGTGAAAGTTCAATTTGTTAAAAAAAAAAAAAAAAAGATATGACTTTGTATCATAATAACAATTAATTTTAGTGTAACCTATAACTGTAAGTTTGTAATGATTGTTATTCTCATTATTATTTTTTTTTTTCGGTAAAAAGAAAAGGAGGCAACGCCTAACTACGACTAGACCAACACGTTTCTGGGATATGACACCCCTATCACATTATGAGCGAGCCAAGGCTTCGCACCCGAGGGAGGGTCGTCCAAACGCTGAAATCCACCCGGCCCCTGCGCTGCAAGGGAGGCCAAATAATCGGCAACAAAATTTGCTTCACGATAACCATGTTGCAAAGCCACATGCCATGACCGATGTAGCAGCTCTCGAATCCCTTTTCGTATAATCCCCATGAGGATGCCGCATCCATCATCGCCCTGGACAATCGCAATAATACTTTGGTTATCGACCTCCACCACCACGTTGGGGGCCCCAATTTCCCATGCAAGCTGCAACGCCTGAAACAAGCCCAAAGTTCGACACCAATGACAGAACAAAATTCAATATTCATCACGAATCCACTCTAGTTCTCATTATTTGAACTATCTACTTTTTGACAAAAAATAAATATATATTTTTTAATTAATGTAATGATCAAATTTATACAACTGAAATACATACAATAATTATGAAAAAATTATATTACTGTAAATTAATATTAGTCTTTATAAATAAGTCTTATATTATTACTCGTGAGTGTGCACAGATGAAGTAATAGTTGCAACTTGCAAGGTAACTTGAACTTTAACTAATCAATTAGCATTATCGATTTTGGAGAATAGATTAATTAACAATGTGACTGTCCCTATTATTATGTTAACACGTCTGATCTGACCGCATGTGCAGCTTAACTAATTGCAATTAAAAAACTTCTTCTCAAAGCAGTCTGTGATCAATCACATTGACTTTTTGAAGTTAATTTCAGTTAATTCGACCATACTTATTGAAATGTTATAGAAAGATGCTATAGTCCCGGAACTATTCTACCGGAGTTTATAACTGTTAGATTATTATATAGCCGTCGGAGATAGTTGATCTAACGGTTACAAACCCGACATAATGATTCCGTAATGGAACCGTAGCATTTCCCAATGTTATAATTATTTTAAAAAATTATAGGTCTGCTTACCAATAAATTAAACCACACGCAAATGGCGTGCCCATATTTGTAGCGTACGTACCGAAAACGTATCCTGGCAAATAGTTGTCGAAAAAAACTCTTAACACCAACACCAACTTCATGAGATAAACAGATTCTATCTATGGCGTTGACATCTTCACCACAAAATCAATTCTCTAAGATTTATTAATAGCATACAAAGTTGACCAATCAACTAATCAAAAGCTGGCAATTTCAATAATCACTAAATTAGTTATTATTATAGTTATCTTTCGTGTTCTTTTAGAGATGCTACATACAAGCCATAAGATCTTATGAGTATTGGATTGCATGATTTTGGCTGGCTCTGTGTTCATCCATCATCGGCAACACTATCGAGTCGACTCGAAAAATCGACACTTTTAATTTTTTGAAATGGCTTTCGTGCTTACGTCGCCATCTGTCGCGTTTTTCCTAGTCGTCGTTGCGAACTTGCAACGGTCGTTTCTAGGCGCACCGCAAGTCCCGTGCTTCTTCATTTTCGGAGACTCGTTAGTCGATAATGGCAATAATAATCCACTACAGACAGAGGCGAGGGTGAATTATCGACCGTATGGGGTTGATTTCCCTGACGGGCCCACCGGAAGGTTCACCAACGGTCGTAACATTGCAGATTTTCTCGGTAAGTCCTTGCATATATTGCCTCCTTTTTTTTGTACGAGGAATCCGTGTCTCTGCATAATGTTGTTAAATTAAACGAGTCTGGCTCGAGCTCAAGGCCTTAACGAGCCAAGCTCGAGCTTGATTTTTGGCTCGTTTATTTAAGGAGCCGTGCTCGGCTCGACTAGTTAAGAGCTCGACCTCGACTCGGCTCTGCATTTGTATATACACGTAATTCGGAGTTACACTTGCAGCTCAGTTACTCAGTTTCGACACATACATTCCGCCTTTCTCAACCGCACAAAACAACAACAATATCAGTCGAGGCGTCAATTACGCGTCGGGATCAGCAGGAATTCGGGGCGAAACGGGTCAGCAGCTGGTAAAAAAAAAGGATGTTCGTAAAATTCTCTTTTTTTTTTTACCAAACAATCTAAAAGATTAATCTAATTTCCCATGGTCATTATAGGGCGAACGGATCAGCTTGGACAGGCAGCTCGAAAATCACAACAGCATTATCTCCCGAATTTCTCATTCGCTCGGCAACTCAACTTTAGCCGAAGAACATCTGCGTAAATGCTTATATTATTTTGTGGTCGGTAGTAACGACTACATAAACAACTACTATGTGCCCGAATATTATCCGACCAGCCGAATCTATACGCCCGAGGAATATGCTTCGGTCTTGATCACACAATACTCTCAACAGCTCAGAGTAAATAATTAATATAGTTCTGTTTTTATACACTTTTGTTTTCGAAAAATATTAAAAATATATTTTTTGTTTTCTGCAACTACCACCACAGACAATTTACAGAGATGGGGCAAGAAAAGTAGCAGTTTCTGGGCTCGGCCTGTTGGGCTGCATACCGCAGGAAACCGGGCGGGGCACAAATGGGTCGGCCTGCGTGGGCCCCATCAACGACGCGGTTCAGTTATTCAACGTCAAGCTGGAAAAGCTCGTGAAAGAACTCAATCGTAATCTTACGGGTGCAGAATTTGTCTTCGTGGGAGCCATTGTTTTGGAGCCGCAAGAACTGATTGGTTTAGGTAAGTGCAAAAATTTGTGTAACTAATTAATTATAAACTACAAGTTTTAATTAGCACCTCAAATAAATATTTTGATTCTCATTCAATTCCTGATCACTTTTATCAGGTGTGAGTTTGCTGAACAAACCGTGCTGCCAGGTGTCGAATTCGACGGGGCTGTGTATTGAAGGCCTGAGGCCATGCCCTGTTAGGGCATTACATGCTTTCTATGATAATTTCCATCCAACTGAGGTTATCAACCAGTTAGTGGCAACTGCTGTGTACAGTGAAATTCTCATATTGATTCATTAATGTTTGGGTTATAGGGTACAAATATGTTATGCCTGCCTTTTCAACAATATCTTATAGCTGCTGATGAATCTGTGCATGGTGCTCAATTAATGTTTATAAATCATAAGAAACTAGTACTAATACCCATGTACAACATGGGTGTTGAGTTAATGAATATATGTGTAAAGTTATTTACGTCGAAAACCAAACCTAACTCTAGAGCAAAAATAATATAAATACAACATCACAAAGCATAGATTTTCGCCATGTCAGCATCCATAGCGTGAGAATATATCTGTCAAACCTAGGCTCAACACGTTTTGAATTAATATATAGAGAGGGATAGGGAGGGATGTGTCCATGTTTTTGTAGTTTCTCTGTTACTTTGCTGGGACAAAATACACCAAATGCCCTCCTCTGTGTGTATTATTTAAGCATATAATCCTCATATAGACAAACACATCTTAAATGTCCACATTGGGGCTCAACCAGACAAGTTTAATTATTATTAACTACTACTGAAAAAGACCGCTAACTAATAAGAGTTTCACCTTATAATTTTTTGCGATTGTTAAAAATGTCCACCAAGTGAACAACGAAAAGTTGTGTACTTACTATTTACTAACTCACATGATTTGGAGTTTTCATAATTAACCTAGCAGTCTTTGGACAGTGAATACAATTTATAAACAGGTTTATGAAAAAGGATTTTTGTTTTCCCCTATGTGCGAAAAGCCCCCCAAATCAGAAGGAAAAAAGCCTTTGCCTCTTCGTCGCCGCCGCTGCTTCCCTCCTCCTCGGAGATGACTGGCTCTAGGGTGAATCCCGCCCATGCGGCCTTTCTCCTGATCCCCATTCTGTGACCGATCCTGCTTATTTATTGAATTTCAATGGTTCGATCGAGCTTTAACTGAACTTTGCT